AAACTTTCCTCATAAACTTGTTATGAGAGATATGTAGGAAGGCTTACCTCACCATAAGCCTTCCTCCTACAATATACTATGACATTTCATATTTTTTCAATAAACTAATTTTTACCTTTTTCTTAAACACAAACACAGATGAAGCATTTTTACAATCATTATCAAGAACATTTCACAGTCTAATTCCTTGTACAGACGTGCAGCGTTCCTTCAAACTTGTTCCAATTTTAGGCTTCACAAACAATTCCAGTCCCTTGAGATTATAATTACTGACTCTCTTTATGAAGTGTAATTGAATATTCCAAGGTAAAACATTTGTGTGACCTCTAAACATTGTTTGTAGAAGTCCATAATCAACCAGTTCGTCAAACTTCAGTAACTTTAATTGTTGAAACAATATGTTAGATGGATGACTAAAATGTTTTCTTGTAATGATTCTTAGAGCCCTGTTCTGTAAAATAAAAATAGAATTTGTAAATGTTCTACATGCTTTCCCCCAGACCTCAACACAATAAATCAAATGTGGAACAACAATAGCATTATACAATATAAGTAGTGCTTTGTCATTAAACAACTCCTTTGCCTTACAGCAATAGATCTTGCTAGTTTTGTTCTCAAACATGAGATTTCCAGGTCAGGTTCTCATCAATAATTACACCCAAAAATTTCACCTCACTCACTCTACAAATATCATTTCCATCAATTTTAAGTGAAGCATCAACTATTATTCTTTTATTACTAAATATCATATATATTTTTTTCGAATTTAAAGACAATTTATTAAGCTCAAACCAAGTCTGTATTTTTACAAAAGTTTTCTCRAGATAAAGTCAGATAACTGATGAGGTTTACTATGTCAGAACACAGGCTGAAATTGCAGTTTGTCTTGTACAGATAACTATCATAGCAACCCTCGCCCGACTGCCGCTCAACTGGCATTTACACTTAAGTATTTATGACCTAAAATATTCTAAGGCATTTCATGGTTCATGTGGTATTCTGGTGAAAARAAAGATATGAAACTGTTATAAAGTGGATCTTTGTTGTTACAGCACTCTTCAATTTTAAATGTCCTATTTGTTTTAGTGGTGTTGAGTGATGTGCTTCTAATGACACACTGGGCTGTAACATTCAATCCAAATTCATTAAACTTATCAATACTTCATTGAAGATTGTTTATGATAACTTGCAGTTTTAGAGGTGTTTTCTGTACTCTGGCTTTTGCCATTTTGAGCCTCCAAGAATAAACTTTAGATTGCTTTGTCCCAACATTTCAAAGAAATGTACTCCTGTTGTGCAGCTTGTTAATGTTTCTCCTTTTCATGCAGCTTGTTTTAATCACTGCTGAGTTCTGACTTGCACCGATTGGTTCAAACCCAAAGCAGTTTCCGTGTGGGCAGAGGGGCGGGGAATTCTCACTTATTTTAGGCTCATAAATTCTGAATTAATTTACTTTAGAAAACTGGAACAAACCAGGAAGGTTACACAAGATGAGTGCTTTAAAGTGGTCTGTCTGTGTTTTGAACCTGTAGGCACCTTTGCAGTAATCAGTCTGATGATTGGGGGTGTTGCTGTGAGGGAGTTCCCAGAACCAACAAAGTCGTTGCTTTTTCAAGACTCAGCCAATGCCTCAAACGTCTCCATGGCCTGTAATCTTGATGACAAAAGGGTCCAAGTGGCTGCAGTACTCACTACATTAGTGGGAATAATTCAGGTCAGTCTGGAAACAACAATCAGTTGATGGATTCTATATTGACTTACATTTAGTGTTTGCAGTATGCATTTTGCAAATCACAGCAACGGGGAAAGATGGTAATCCAGTTTTCTCATGCTCAGAAATGAGTGTTTATCCACAGCGGCAGGATGTCTGAATCCCTGATGATGAATGTTGTTATTTGAAACACAACCTTGTAACTTTGACTTTTTCAGATTGTCTTTGGCCTTCTCAGGTTTGGCTTTGTGTCAATCTACCTCACAGAGCCTCTGGTGCGAGGCTTTACTACAGCAGCAGCCTTACATGTTGTCATCTCCCAGCTCAAATACTTACTAGGGGTGAAAACGGAGCGTTTCTCTGGGCCCCTCTCTGCCATTTATGTGAGTTTCAAGAAGGATTTGGGAGTCCATCTTCTTCCCAGTGCAAATCATCATGTGACATTATCTATTACAAATGATTTACTTATTCATTTTCTGTCTCTTTAGTCTCTCATAGCAGTATTTAGTCAAATCACCAGCACCAATATTACTTGTCTCCTATTGGGCCTCGCATGTCTTGTATTCCTGTATGGGATTAAAGTTCTCAACGAGCGCTTTAAGAAGAGGCTGCCTGTACCCATTCCTGGAGAAATTATTGTGGTTATCGTGTCAACTGGAGTCTCATTTGGTTTATCCATGAAAGATAATTACAAGGTGGAAATAGTTGGGAGCATACCAACAGGGTAAGTGTTTATTTGCCTCACTTTCAGTCTCTTCGTCAGTTGTTAGAATGTCTCACCTGAAAAATATTGGCATACTAGGTTGGATGTTCTACAARTATTTGCTTTTGTGTTCTCAGGCTTTGCCCTCCCACTGTCCCAGATTTTTCTCTGATTTCCAATTTGATCCCAGATGCTTTTGCTGTAGCCATTGTAGGATTCTCAATGAGCATCTCACTAGCAAAGATCTTTGCCCTGAAACATGGCTACAGTGTGGATGGCAACCAGGTGAGTGTACATGTCTATTTGGACAAACACTTTTTTTCCATTGTCGTGGAAATGTTTATTTTACCTAGGCAGAAACATGAGACCCAAGAATAAGAAGTACTCTGTGAATGGTCAACATGATTTATTTGCAATTGCAAGAGGCACATGTCACACAGAACAGTGGTACAGAATGTGTGCACCGAGACCGTCTCAGATAGACTCATTTAGACAGCATGTGYTATCCAAACAGACAAAGACTGGGCCAAGGAAAGAATGACGTTTGATAAACAGCAACAAGAATGATTCCTCCTAAACAGATATTGTCCTGTTCTTAAAACACTTTGTCCAAGAGTAAACAGAAGATGAGTGAAATCATAAAACGTGATGACATTTTACARTAAGCAAAAGAGGTCACTGACACTTGGCCTGAGAAGAAATGCAGGACTGTAAAGGATACTTTATTTTTCCAAGACACTACCTTTGGTTTTAGACATTACCACAATGAATTTTGAAGAAAACATTTCAGATTCATCAAAAAGAAAAAATAAGTAGGTCCTCTGGATGGGTTCTTCTTTAGTGAAACGTTTTGTCTCTCCTCCAAGAGACTTCTTCAGTCTGATGAGTTTCAGGTGAACTCAGCCTTATAAGCACTGCCTCCATCCACATGGTGGACAAACAGGTTAGTCACAAAAGCCTGAAATTAGTTTGAGAGTTTGAGCAAACRGCAAGAAAGAAGGCGGACTACAGAAACCATCTGAGATTTAATCTTCGTTGCAGACAGAGTGGCATCTTTCCTAGAAGCCTTCAACTTAAATCATCTGTTGGTGGACAACGGGCAAGTTAAGATCCTACAGAGGGCACAGACCCAGCTTTTGAACGAACGAGTAAAACAGACCAACTTTACCATTGAAGTTATAGAAGCCAAAGAGGAACACATCTGACAAGAATTAACAAAACATCTAGATCAGACCACATTCCAACAGGTTATGGATTTTACAGAAAAGGYAGGTTTAGCTCAGCATATCAAGTCCAAGACCCAAAGAAGACAAAAGACAAGAGGTTCACTTTACTGGTAACTCGACAGTCCCTTCGTAATTCCAACAACTCACAGAAGGTGGAACAACACACAGGAGCACAAGTGTGACTAACCTGTTTGTCCACCATGTGGAGGCAGTGCTTATAAGGCTGAGTTCACCTGAAAC